CACACACACACATTTATGTATATGTATATACACACACACACATATATATATATATATATATATATATATATATATATTATATATATATATATATATATATATATATATATATATATATATATATATATATATTGTTATTATCTATCTATATACTACTAAAAGTCAAGTTTGTTTACATGTTTGAATATTTATTTGTTTGTTTGCCTGATCGAAAATTGTGATATGTTCGACTCTACCTGGAAAGCTGTAAAATGGTATGCAGGTAGAGAATAATTTTTTAATGCAGACAGACTGTTAATCACACATTTATTTAAAGACGTTAATTAATTTATTGATTTATTCCTACGCAGAATAACCCATTTTTTTTTAAAATGTTAAAACCTTGACTAAACTTTGTGGGAATAGTGACGTCACAGGTTTTTGTTTACTCTTTAGTACAATAAAATGGCGGCGTCTATTGAAGAAAATTGTGTTCCCATTCAAAAGTTTAACGCGTTCTAAATCTAATTTTCTGTCGGTCATAACTTTAACAATACGTCCGTTTGCTGTATTTATTACGTCCCAACACTTATATCAATTTTCAACTGTCTTTTTCATTTAGTTTTACGATAAATTTCTCTAGATCTAAAGATCAGCTATCGAAGGAAATTTATGAATCTAGCCTAGATCTAGATCTAGCCTAGATGTAGGTCACTAGGTTTCTATGTAAATTCTAGATCTAGACTTAATGTAAATTCTACATCTAGAATCTATTTCAGGCCTTAATTATTTTATATAAATCTTTGTTTGGCTTATTTAAGATAAAATTTAATTTGAAAGTTAGTACTACTAGACTTATTTTTAGATCTAGATCTAGAATCTATACGCCGTAAATCAAGTTGCATAAGGAGATACATAGTATAGTATAAAAATTCACTTGTGACGTCACGAGTAAATAGCTAAAATGGTAGCGTAGTCAGCTCTCATGCAGGAGGCACGGGTTCTAGACCAATATGTCAATGAAATTTTTTTTTTCAATTTTTTTTTTTTAGATGTGAATGATAACGTTGCCTATCTGAACTTGGCAAGATACAGGGCAGGTGAAGTAGAGTTCATCTGTTTCTTTGTCCTAAGCATATGAAAGGATAGTGTGGTCAGATACATGCTCGGCTGGAATTGTTTTTTAAACGATAAAAAACATGTTGTCTGAGACTTGGCAGGACACTGGGCAGGTGAAGTAGAGTTGAGTAGGTCACCTGTGACGTCAGTTTATGAAGGGATAGTCCGAAATCGGTGTTTTCGGTGTTTTTAAAAGATAAAAAACATATATTTGCAGTAGCGTACCGAGGAGGGGGGGGGGGGACGGTAGGGGAGGGGAGGCGGGGGGTGGGGAGGGGAGGCGGGGGGTGGGGGGGGGGGGAAGGGGAGGCGGGGGGTGGGGAGGGGGGGGGGGCATATGTTGGGGCGCCAAAATGGTTTGGAAAAATAAATTGATAGGTTGAGGGGGGTTCAAATCGAAAGTTTGAGTGGGGGGGGGGGGGGGGGGTGCACATCAAAAGTTTGAGGGGGGGGGGGTTCAAATCGAAAACTTTGTCCCCGGGCGCCGGGAAGGGTCGCTATGCCTCTGAGTGACAGACGTGATGTTTTTTGATGGATGACCCCCGAAACCCACAGTTATCCAACGGATGACGGGTATTCTAGTATACTACTAAAAGTCAAGTTTGTTTACATGTTTGAATATTTATTTTTTTGTTTGTTTTTTTGTTTGTTTGTTTGTTTGCCTGATCAAGTATCCTGATATGTTCGGCTCTATCTGGAGAGCTGTAAAATAGTATGTAGGTAGAGAATAATTTTTTAATGCAGACAGACTGTTAATCACAAATTTATTTAAAGACGTTAATTAATTTATTGATTTATTCATTGTTAAATTAACCGTATTTTTAAAAAAATGTTAATACTTTGAATAAACTTTGTGGGGATAGTGACGTCCCTTGATAGTGACGTCAGAGTTTTTTGTTGACTCTTTAGTACAATAAAATGGCGGCGTCTATCGAAGAAAATTGTGTTCCCATTCCAAAGTTTAACGCGTTCTAAATCTAATTTTCTGTCGGTCATAACTTTAACAATACGTCCGTTTGCTGTATTTATTACGTTCCAACACTTATATCAATTTTCAACTGTCTTTTTTCATTTAGTTTTACAATAAATTTCTCTAGATCTAAAGATCAGCTGTCGAAGGAAATTTATGAATCTAGCCTAGATCTAGATCTAGGTCACTAAACTCAATGTAAATTCTAAATCTAGACTTAATGTAAATTCTACATCTAGAATCTATTTCAGGCCTTAATACATCTAGAATCTATTTCAGGCCTTAATTATTTTATATAAATCTTTGTTTGGCTAATTTAAGATAAAATTTAATTTGAAAGTTACTACTTCTAGACTAGACGCTCGAAATCAAGTTGCATCAAAGTATAGTATAAAAATTCATTTGTGACGTCACGAGTAAATAGCTAAGTTTGTAGCGTAGTCCGCTCTCATGCGAGTAGTACAGGTTCTAGACCAATATGTCAATGATATTTTTTTTCAATTTTTTTTTTTTTAGATGTTAATGATAAAAAATGATTTTTTTTTTCAATTTTTTTTTTTTAGATGTTAATGATAAAGTTGCCTATCTGAACTTGGCAGGATACAGGGCAGGTGAAGTAGAGTTCATCTGTTTCTTTGTCCTAACCATATGAAAGGATAGTGTGGTCAGAGACATGCTCGGCTGGAATCGTTTTTTAAACGATAAAAACATGTTGTCTGAGACTTGGCGGGACACTGGGCAGGTGAAGTAGAGTTGAGTAGGTCACATGTGACGTCAGTATATGAAGGGATAGTCCGAAATCGGTGTTTTCGGTGTTTTTAAAAGATAAGAAACATATTTTTGAATGTGGGCTCTGTTTTTGTGACGATAAGTGACACTGCAGTAGCGTAGCGAGGAGGGGGGGGGGGCGGGTGGGGAGGCGGGGGGGGGGGAAGGGGAGGCGGGGGGGGGGGGGGGGGAAGGGGAGGCGGGGGGAGGGAGGGGAGGCGGGGGGGGGGGGAAGGGGAGGCGGGGGGAGGTGAAGGGGGGGGGGGGCGGGGGGACGTATGTTGGGGCGCCAAAATGGTTTGGAAAAATAAATTGAAAGGTTGAGGGGGGTTCAAATCGAAAGTTTGAGTGGGGGGCGGAGGGGGTGCACATCAAAAGTTTGAGGGGAGGGGGTTGAAAATCGAAATCTTGGGGGGGGGGGGGGGTTAAAATCGAAAAGTTTGTCCCCGGGCGCCGGGAAGGCTCGCTATGCCTCTGAGTGACAGACGTGATGTTTTTTGATGGATGACCCCCGAAACCCACAGTTATCCAAGGGATGACGGGTATTCTAGTTATCATTATCATTACAAATTCAATTCAACACTTTACATAACGCATACAAGAGGTAAGCAAAAGAAAACACGGGGAAATAACAATAGAGATTTGGTTACGGTACAGACAGACAGACACATCAAGTGCGTTCAAACAGTTTTTGCGATTTTTTTTTTTTTTTTTTTTTTTTTTTTTTTTTTTTCAATTTTAGAGTTGTTTTTTTTTTTTTATACAGCGTGAGCATAAAATCTTATTTTTCAAGGAAATATGGAAATCTTAGACGGAGTAATAATTTAACATTGTTAATTTATATAAGTACAAATAAATACTTTAGACGTCGTTTCGTTGTTACCGTCACTGTTCTAATGCAATTTTTTACTTTTTCAATCTAACTTACTTAGAATTAAGCATTATAGGTTATCGACAATGTACATAATTATTAATATACAATTCAAAATTTTATAATGCCTGTTGCGTGTATATTCAGATGAATCAGTGGCGTAGCGAGGTCGGGTGTCACCCGGTGCGGCACTTAATGGTGTCACCCCCCCAGAGGCGTAGCGACCCTTCCCAGGAGACCCTTCCCAGGGACAAACTTTCAAATTTTCGATTTGCACCCCCCCCCTCAAACTTTCGATTTGCACCCCCCCCCTCAAACTTTCGATTTGCACCCCCCCCTCGAGTTTTCGATTTGCACCCCCCCCCCCCCCCTCAAACTTTCGATTTGCACCCCCCCCTCGAGTTTTTCTCTATATATTTTGCTATCTTTTGCCTTGGTGTCACCCCCCTAAATGGTGTCACCCGGTGCGGTCCGCACCCCCCCGCCCCCCCCCTCGCTACGCCCCTGAGATGAATGTTTCAGAGAAGATGTTGTTTACGATAGACATCTGTTTAGCATCCTTCATACCCAGAAGCGCTTCACCACATAAGCTACAAGAACGATGGCTGCCCATGACAACACAAGACCAAGTGGCAACCCTAAATATAGTCCTAAATTCGTTCGGGATTTCCCGCTCTCTTCACTCGTCAAAGCCTATATGAATAGGAAATAAAAAATTGTGAAACAATATTGATTCAAAAACATATTTTTTAAAATTAGTTAATGTTCATTACACCTGATCTTGATTTGGTACTTTAAGTAATTAAAAGATATGCGGTAAGTTTGTATTATTTGCAACGTTAACGTGAACAGAATCTGAGTCACGTGATTATTGTGAGTGAAGTTGAAAGAGCGTGATATTGAACGAAGAAATTCCAGCTTTGATTAAATTCTTCCAATCATTGAATCATAATTTCTTACAGTTAATTAGATTTTTTTTTTACATTCTCGTATATGGAGTACACAAACAAAATCGTTTTACAGTGAAATATCATATTATGATAATGCTTCTTTTTCTAAGATCTTTTCGCCTAAATGGGTTTTCTCGAAAAACGAGGGGTTTCGTCACAAACTTACCTATCATTTCAATATCCCGACCCCACTGGAAGTGGTATCCCAACGCTTACTTTTACACAATAACATGAGAACGTTAGAAAAACCACCGAATTTAAAAAACGTTTCTATTTTGTTATAATTTTAATCAAAATTGTGTTGTACTTCTAGCTATGTACTCAGTGTAGGCCCATATCTATTAAAGCCTTTATGTTTTAATTTAAAAACGATAGTTTAGCTAAATATTATCTGATGTAACCAACTGATGTAATGCTTAAAAAATGTACAATGAATTGAATACAAAATGTAAATGAAGGTTGGTAGAATATGCCCTTCGTTAGGGACAGTTAGGGTGACACCGTATGCCATACCTCAGGGTGTTGACCCTGGTTAGAGTATGATTGTGTACATGTATTTTTATTTCTATTGGTTTTGAGTGCACTACACCTGAAGTTAATTTAGTGCCACATCCATTGCAGGTATTGTAGCACCTTATTGTAATACGGTGTTACATTTCTAAACAAAGCAAGTGTTCTACATAGAATTAACCAGTTTTCTTAATGGTGTCACTCCCTTCCCCCCCCCCCCCCCCACCCACAGGCGGTGTAGTCCAGCTCGGTTTGTAAAAGAGATAGGGGGTAGGCTCTAAACATGTATTAAAATATGATCTGTCTTTACAAAGATTATATTCCGCGACAATTAGCATTGAATTCAACACTTTGTATTTAATAATGCTACCTTAAATTAAATGTAATAATATAATTAATATAAAATGTAAAAAGGTGAAATAAATTTTTTTAACTTACGTTTGCCTTGTTAGAACCAGAGTTATCTGTTGAAGTTGTTGTAGTCGATGCTGAGTCGTGTTGGTGTGCGGATGGTGTGGATTGTGGTGTGGTTGTTTGTGGTGTGGTTATTTGTGGTGTGGTTGTTGATGTGGCTGACGTAGTCGTGGGTGGTAGAGTTGTGGTTGACGTGAGTATTGTGAGTATTACACTGGTTGGTGTGGTGATTGGTGTGGTTGTTGGTTCAAATGAAGTGTGTGTGGTTTGTTGTACTGTGGTTGAGGGTGTGGATGTGGATGTTTGTGTGGTTGTTGTGGGAATGGCTGTTGTTGTTGTGGTAGTGTGCATTTGTGTGGTTGTGCTTGTAGGTGTTGGTGTGGTTGTCGGTGTAGTTGTGTGTGTGGTTGTGGTAGGTAGTGTAGTTGTCTGTGGTGTTGTGGTTGTTGGTGCTGTTGTAGATGCTGTTGTGGTGACTGTCGGTGTGGTTGTGTGTGTGGTTGTCATTGGCATTGTAGTTTGTGTTGTCGCAACATTTTGTATTGCTGCTGCTAGAGGGGTCGTTGATGGTGTAGTGGGCATAGTAGTGGCTGATGTAGTGGATGTTGGAACTGCTGTGGTGATCTTGGTGGTTGTGGTATTGGCAGCGGTTGTGCTGAAAGGTAACATAGTGGTAGTGCTGGCTGCAGATGATGTGGTTGTGTTTATAATTGTTGTTAATGTGGTGGGAAGATTGGGGATGGTTGAGGTTGTGGAAGTGGTAGGTATTGCGGTCGTGAGAATTGATGTGTTTAACGTTGTGTTTGTTGTGGTGCGCTGTGTGGTGGTTGTGACTGGGGTGGTGGTGGGTATGTTTGTGGTTGTAATGGGTGTGTTGGTTGTATTTCTTTCAGTTGTGATCGGGATTGGTGAAGTTGATGTACTGGTGGTAAAGACTGAGGTAGCAGAGGAGAGTTTTGTTGTTGTTGTGGTCGTTGGTGTTGATGATGTGGTTATTGGCATCGTTGTGGTAACTGGCACCGTTGTGATGAGCACTGGCGCTGTTGTTGGGGCTAGTGGTATGGTGATTGTGGTCACGGGCGTTGTTGTGGTGGTCAGCGGCGTTGTTGTTGTTGTGGGTCTTGTCGTCGTTGTGGTCACTGGCACCGTTGTGGTAACTGGGACTGTTGTTGGGGCTAGTGGTATGGTGGTTGTGGTCACGGGCGGTGTTGTGGTCAATGGTATAGTTGTGGTCACTGGCATCGTTGTGATGAGCACTGGCGCTGTTGTTGTGGTTAGTGGTATGGTTGTTGTAATCACTGGCGTTGTTGTTGTTGTTGTGGGTCTTGTCGTCGTTGTGGTCGTTGGCGTTGTTGTAGTGGTCAGTACCGTTGTTGTGGTGCTCAGTGGCATAGTTGTTGTTGTGCTCAGTGGCGTAGCTGTTGTTGTGGGCCTTGCTGTTGTCGTTGTGGTCATTATCGTTGTTGTAGTGGTTAGTGGCGTTGTTGTGGGCACTGGAACCGTTGTTGTAGTAATAGGCCCTTTTGTCGTTGTTACTGGCACCGATGTTGTCGTTGTTGGCACAGTAGATGTCGTTGATGGTTGAGTAGTTGTAGTTGATGGTAGAGTAGATGTTGTTGTCGGCACAGCTGCAGTTGTTGTGAGCTCAGGTAGTAAAACCACAGAGCGCATGTCCACGTAGATAGTCGCGAAGGTTTCGACAACGGTCAACCTGTTGGAGAAATGTTTCAACTTCATATAAAGATAAATCTAACGGAATGTTAGGTAAATATGCTGTGCATACGACAATTAGACATTGGCCAGCTAACAGGGTCCTAAAAATTACCTAAAGATTATCCTTTTTGTAGCTTCAGTAGGTGCCTTCCACGCAAATGTCAAATTGCCTTTTAACGCTGAATTTCGATGTGTTAATGCCTAAAATAGAATCGGAAAAACTGTTTAAACAATTTGTTTCCAAATATAGTAAGCCTATGTGAGGTTCCTATTCTAATACATAACAGGAACAGTTAGTCTCGAATAGTCCTAACCAATAGCCATTAAAAGAGGGTTCATTTTTATTTATCCTTATTTAATTAGAATGAATATTTACTCCATCCTTAAATTAGTTAAATGTTAAAATATGTCTAAGACGTTTTTTTTTAATTTTCTCTGTAAATGTATTGTAATCTCTTCTTCTTCTTCTTCGTTCTTAATTATTAGTGTTGAAGGGGATCGAGATTTAGCTGCCAGTGGGTTTGAACTCGAGACTTTGTTCGAATTTATCAACCATGAGCTTTTTGCCGACTCGACCACGCCTCCAACACAATTAAGCGGTACGTGTCAACTGGTTATGCGCCATTGAGGCCATTGACTCCGATTTCAGCCTGCTTTTCTTTTTGGATTTGCTTCCATAGCCTTTGTCCAACCAAGAACAAACTACAAGGCAGCAGTTGTTTTAATTTTGGAGTTGTCTCTCCTAGAAGAGTGGCTGTCCCCAGTTAACGAGCCTCATCTGCCCGAGGGTTCGAACTAGTTTTGTATTACAGTTTAATTTTGCAACCCTTCTTTTTATTTTTAGAAACTGCTTTAAATATCTGTCCTCAGTCCATATGACGTATTCTACGAGCCCAAAAACTTACCAGCCCCTGTGTGCAAGCAAACCGCGCATCTGTTGTTTCCGTGAAGGTTCCCAGAAAATCCACTGAGTCTACGTCTCGAGCTTGTATCATGAAACCTTTGTACCGCGTGTTGCCTGCTATGGTTACTGTGTAAAACGTTAATGTACACATTTATTTATGAAACTTTTGTACTGCGTGTTGCCTGCTATGGTTACTGTGTGAGAAACGTTAATGTACACATTTATTTATGAAACCTTTGTACTGCGTGCTGTCTGCTATGGTCACTGTAAAAAACATTAATGTACACATTTTTTTATGAATTGCTCTCTCTGCACTGATAGTCACATCATTTTAACACTGCTCTGTCACTACTTCACAATATTTTGCATGTTTGAATTTTTCGTTCAGTAACTCGCGTTAATTCACTGTTTTTTTTTTTTTTGGTTTTTTTTTTATTTAGAGATATTACTCTCCAGTAGTGTGTCATTTTGCTACGCACTAGCTATAAAAAAAAATGGTGTGAGTGTGGTTATTAATGTAAGTTGTAATGTCAGCTAATTAAATATATGTGTATATTATATATTATAGCGACCAGGATATAACAGTTGTAAATTTTTAAAGTGTTACGATGTAATCAAGACATACGTCGAAACATACACACACCAACTTACACCGTCACACACTTATAACGGTACGCGCTATTACCAACATACATAGGCACTGATATATATCACTCTCGCACGGCGGCACACAAATAGAGAGAAAAACACACATCAACACACACATACCCGGGCACACACATTACACTGGTGACCCCACACACCATACACATCACCCATGTACCCACACACCGATCCACACATAACACCGTGTTTGGGCCCACGCCTAACACCGGTGACACCACACTTAACACTTGTGACCACACATAACACAGGTGATCCCAGACATAACACCGGTGACCCCACACATAACACCGGTTATCCCACACATAACACCGGTGATCCCACACATAACACCGGTGACCCCACACATAACACGTGTGACCACACACACCGGTGATCCCACACACAACACTGGTGATACCACACATAACATATGTGACCCAACACACTGGTCAACGCACCTTGCAGTGTTTCCATTGGTGAGTACGTGACCTTGGAGAGTATGATCCCAAAAGGTCCTGGCAGGGGTCGGGGGTCAGCGTTGTGCTGTGGCATCATGGGATTGCAAGCGCTGTCGGGCGCCCCGCTGGAGAACCCCCGAACACATGTGACCAGCCATGAGGACAGGGCGATAATCCGACATACCAAATTTCGATTCATTCGTTTGTTGTACAGAAAGGCTTGCGGGTAGGGGGTGGATTATGGGTAGTCTGAAATAGAGTAGCAAATTTAACATAAAAATTAAGCTGTAGGATATGAGGTATTCTAAAACTAATTTAAGTAATGTTTAATTTTTTTTAATACATTTTATTTTAATCAGGCTTCTTGAAAATTTATCAGTAGACTTCTTTTTTTTTGGATTTTTCATATATTTATTCAATGAGTAAGTGAACATATATACAGAGGAAGAAGAAATGAGATGTAGTAATATAGAATCAAAATCGCAAACAAAAAATAAAAACTTTACTTACCGTTTGTTAGAATAAAGTCCCTACCAATAGAAGAAAAAAAAACGTAATCCAATCAAGCCCAAATACAACACAAAGTTCTCACAACTTCCTAATGAACCAACCACAATGAACTCCGCACCTTAAAAGAACTAATTTCAACCACCTTCATCCTTTTCAATTTTTAATGCTAATTTATCACGCTGAAGAGGAGACAGGCTGTTTTTTTTTACTACGTTTTTTTCTTTACCTTTTTATATTAAAAAGTGGACTTTAGATAAAAAGATAAAACGACAAATTTCGGGAGCGACCCACGGAGTAATGGCCCCTTAGGCCATAAGAATAAATTACTGAGCGCTTAGAACTTGACAGATCGATTTTAAAACTTGACAAACGACTTTTTTTTTGTTTTGAGAAAATACAACAGATATGTGTTTTGGGTTTCCGTTATGTCACTTTGTAGTAACGCAGGTCATTTTTCATTTAGGAAATTTAATTAATTATAGCTCATTAAAGAATTTATCCTTGGGGCGGAAGAGTTGCAACAAATCTTCGTGAGGACTGCTTGTATAGATTGTTCCCTAGCCCAGTGTTTGAATAAGTCACAGTACAAGCAGTAAAAAAATTACTTGCTACATTTTCATGAAAACTGTAGAATTGTATTCAATTTGTATCTGCTGTTTTTTTATTAATTTGGTATTTTGATAATCAAGAAATCTTTTTACTTTTTTTTTCTCACAAGGGCGCAGACTTTACTTAGAATTAATTCTGAATTATCCAAGCATACTATATATTACTATTCATCCAACAAATATCTACTTTGTGTTTTATGGGCGATAGGTATTACTATAGAGATAGAGATACAGATCTATTATGGCATTCTTGGGATGGGAGGGGTTGGGGGTATATTCGAGCACATTGATTTGTTATTTTAATGTAAGGAAAGAAGGGCGGTAAGTTCTAGATACGCCCAGATAGTATCGTAATAATAATAATAATAAAATTTTATTACGAAACTACGCCTCAAGGTATAAAGATCATGGATTTATTATTGTCTCTTTAATAGTATGGTGTGTTGCTTTATTCGTTAAATAAAACAATATTATTATTACATTCTCCTGTTCGTTGTTTATGTGTGGAGATGGCTTTTGGGCGGAGGGTCGGGCTCTGAGTTCGTTGTCTTTGACAAACAACATCAATTTTCGATGGTTGTTTAAGAAAGGTGAATAAACTTTGAGACCTCATATCGGAATTGTGGGTAAGGATGTTGGCTGTGTGCAACGGATGGGTTGGGGGGGGGGGGGGGGGAATCGGCTAGAATAGCGTGACGTCATTTTTTGTGTAGCCCTAATTGTTAAACTGACTCACATTTACTTCCGCCCAGCGTGTGCGGGTTTGAGTCACTTCACGCCTGCTGGGTAGGTCGAGTCGACCTTCAACTCGTGGTGACCTTGTTTTTTGATAAGGGTCGTAAACAGGACATGGGTGGGGGGGAGGGGGCGTGTCGTAGCTGAACTGAACAATCTAATTTTGACGGAAGTGACGTTTTATGTATAGTTCAATCTACATACATATTGTTAAACCATTAAGGCTGAATTTATTTGGTTTCTGTTTCTCTGATATCCTTTTGGGGATCTAAAGCTATTTTTGTTATTAAACTATACAAATACAAGCTTCTAGACTCTAATGTTTTCCTTTCCAATAATCTCTTCACTAATATATCCCCTTCTTTTCTGCATTCGTTGTTTTTATACTCTCTCTCTCTCTCTCTCTCTCTCTCTCTCTCTCTCTCTCTCTCTCTCTCTCTCTCTCTACCTCTCTCCCTCCTCCCGACTCTCCTTGTTTTCTCCTCTATATCTCCGTGTCATGCGGTTGTATCCACCCCTCACCCCAAGCATTTAATATTGTATCCATCTTACTCCCTCTATTCATCCCTTTAGGATCATTCATTCTCTTTCTTACATTATTCTATCCGATCAACCCACCCCCCCCCCCCCTCCAATTTTTTTCACAGCACAATCGGCTGACTTGACCACAACCGAATGCTCTTCTTATAACGATTTCATTTCTCCGTGTTTCTTTTCTTATTTTGTCAAAACGTCTCGCACGAGAACTTGTGTAAATAAAGCCATTTTGTTATTTTATTTCAATGTGGCTAAAATTGTAAGTAAGATCAGCCATCGTATCGTGTCGGGCTGACATGCGCATGTCACAAAACAGTAAATAAAGCCGTGTTGTTATTTTATTTTCAATGTGGCTAAAATTGTAAGTAAGATCAGCCATAGTATCGTGTCGGGCTGACATGCGCATGTCACCAACACTCCCACCTGGGAGCGACGGGCATTCTCTCCCCTTGTCGTGCTATTCTCGGAAATGACTGGCGTTCTATTTTTAGTCACAGTCGGCTGATCAAGTACTTCCATATGGTTGGTCAATCCTTATCGATTCCCCCATCTGCTCATCTGGGTCGATTGGGTTACGTAACTGCTGAACTATTTTTTTAAGCTTCTTGAACACCAATCGAGTGGGGTGACTAGTTCACAAAATATGTCAACTTTTTGAGCGATTGAACGTACCCTTCCTCCGTGTTTTTATGTAATATGTAAACTAGACTAGATACAGTTTCACATAACTCTTGTACGCATTTCATCTTCCAGAAAATAAACGTGTTAACTATTTTAAATTGTATAACAAAAAAAATGCGTTTCATAATTTTTCTTTTAGACATTTTTCTCAGGTGGTGAGGCGGACTTCGACTTCCGGGAAGGTTGGGGGGGGGGGGGGGGCGAGAGGACGGGACTGATTAAAGTATATATTTTCTATATAAATTATTTGCCTTTTATTTATTCGGGGTTGGTGGGGGAGCATGAAAGAAACTCTGCTGTTTCCCCAAAGATTCAGGTTATCACAATGATCTGTATATTGATAGGTAATTTTGTGCATTGGGGGGTCGATTTATCTTTAACCTAATCATATATGGACATTAAAAATTACTATTCCATATTATTCAGGAAACGCCCCCATCCTCATACCCCCCACCCTTTCCCACACCTGCACATATTAATAGGCTCTCGTCATATCCCAAGTCATACACCGCGTGATAATACCTCCCCCCACCACCCTTTCTAACACATACACACACGCACTCTTCTTGCCACATATGAAACATCTGATTGAAGGACCCGGAAGTGAAAGCTACTCCTCATTACATGTGACCCTGAGAGGAATTGTGACCTTGACCAACGAGGAAATAAAATACCGTCTATGTGAAGTAGGCTTGGGGCCGGCTCCGATTTGCATGTGAAGAGCCCCTAAATAAAAAAAAGAAGGAATTTTAAAATTGAAAGCGTTTCAACTTTCATTCAAATTTTTATTAGTTTCGTTTTTTTTTTAAATTATCTTAATTAACAATAGTCCTTTTTTTAAATCTCAATTTAAAATGGTTTCTTTTTTTTACAAGCTTTTATTTAACTCACTTCCTCTGTCGACAGTCTGTCGACAGTCTGTCGTCAGTCTAGATGGAAACGCAGGAGTGAAAATTCGGACAGTTCTACTTGACCGATACGATTCACAGTTGGCACGTGGGTCAAGACATGAAGACAATGCAATCTGAATCTAAATTTGACTTAATGGACACCAGCGAGAAAAGTCTCAAAGGTATTTGAGAGGTGTATAAATTCATTAAAAAATCATGCACAGCGTATTTACAATTAATATGGTTATAAAATCCTGCCTGTCTGGTTTTTTTCGGACTTTACCAAAGATTGGATGTATTTGATGTTTATAATATTTTCGGTAACTAAATAAAATTTAAAAAAAAAGCAAAAACAATTTGGTTTTCACGTGCAATGGCGACATAAACATGGCATCCTGCTATTGGATAGGCTGCCATAGATTTTATTGTACACATTGTAAGCTAAAAATAGAAAACTAGGTCATGGGGTTTTAAATTTGCATTGTTATTTAAAAACTTGATCTGCAAAGTTTTGTAAACAAATAGTTATCGATCACTAAGTTACTGTATAGCCAATCAATATTTGTCTTACGAAAGTGAAACATCCGGTTATAACTTAGGCTTGATGAAAATAAATAGAAATGTAGCCTTAAACTCAACAAATTATTTTCAAGTTCTCTGGATTTGCAACTTTTATAGCATTTATTCTAAGAATATAAAATTTCTAAATTAATTTTAGGCTTAAGTTTTTATTTTTTATTTTTTTTTTACGGTCTAAATCTAAAAAAACACGTTTTTATTCCATGACAACAACATTATGGAAGGAATCTCGTCAACTCGCTCGCCTCCATTGGATGCCTAATTAATTTTTTATGAATTAATTAAAATTTGGACCGAATTAGTAGGCATGTCTATCCAACCACACCACATACGTCATCACGTTCAATCAGGTTTAATAGCTGCGCTATCACGTTCAATAGACGCGCAATGGTTTTTAGTCTTGTAACACTATTGCAAATAAAACATGTAAAGTACTGAAAAAAAAAATTCATAAAAAACGTTTTAATAACAAGCTTTTATGTAACAATGCACTAAAAAGTAGAAAATAAATTATAGACTACTATTTAAATAACTATAAAGAAAAGAGTGGGTGTCTTCCTTAACATTAGTAAAGGTATCCAATAGATACTAAAGTGACCCACGCTTTTCTTTATAGTTATTTAAATAGTAGTCTATAATTTATTTTCTACTTTTTAGTGCATTGTTACATAAAAGCTTGTTATTAAAACGTTTTTTATGAATTTTTTTTAAACAGCATTAAGAATATTCTATTTTTAGAACACAGGAAGCAGACATGAAAACTAATCACTGACCAACGATACCTAAGCTGTGTTCAGGTATCGATGCTGATTGCTGATGTCCTTCCTACACGGCCTGCGGTCAGGATTTGTGAGGGAATGATGTGGTCAGGAAGATCCTTGATAGGTGACGCATGCCATCCACAGCAGACGACGGTCAGTGTTGTTACAACATGCTCAAAGCCTCCGCCTTATGTGGTCAAGGGCAGGTTACTGAAGGCACACGATTACAGTTTGGTCATATTAACTCCCCTTTATCTGAGATGATAGGCTTTCAATTAGAAAACATGCCACATGTTTTATTTAGCAGGCAACAAAAAAATTACATGGATTCCTTAAGGAGCAAGCAAAAATGAAATCCAAAACACCTGGT